TTTGGGATGTCATGCAAGCGAACCACCGGTACGGCGCCCCTAGCATTGACAAATCATGCCGCGTACTCCGCAGCTGATCAGAGGCTTTCCAGCTGAGCCAATAGATCTAAAAAGATTCAAAGGGGGGATGATCAGGATCTTAAAGATAAAATTAAGAGGAGACAGAAAGTTGTGGTAGGCATCTCACCGTGATTCTGGCCTCGGCCTTGGCCAACCTATCCTCCACCGGATCGACCTCAGAAGGCGATCGGCATCGAACCATGGCCAGAGCCGATTCTGTGAGGGAGAGGCAGTCGGTGAGATTCTAGCCAGCCCGATCAATGGAGTCTAACAAATCGTCATTGTCGATCTGCCTCCTCGGATAGCAAGGCAGCTAACGGCGAGCTGTTGATGAGGATGACCCCAAAGGCTGAGCGGAGTCGGCCCTATGCTCCGGGATGGTGGGGGCATCCCAAGTTGCACTCTCCTGATGACGAAGGCGCTGGCGCGATGATGCAGATCCGTTGAGGGCCTCATCAGCAGACCTCTTGCTGTTCTCCATGATCTTAAACCTATGGGAAAGCAGAAATCGCACCAAAGACACGAAAGGTTTGGGACAAAACAGGTTGTTTTTTGATTCACAGCCGTGGCCCATATATATAGCCTGGGAAGGTGAGAAGATAGACTTCGCCGGGGTTATGGAATTGAAGTCAGATATGGAAACGGATCGACACTCTGGAAATTCAGGAGACGGATCACGAAGAGATAACAAATTCAGACTTATTGCTTCCCATAATCACAAAATATCGTGGGATGGATACGAAAAGTTTACATTGACCAGCGATCAACCCACCAAGGCTTTTTTGGATTAAAGGGAGTCCGGATCCCCACAAGGTCAAAGGTTATCATGAATCGAGTCACATCGGCCCGTTGATAAAATTGCATTAGGAGAAGGGGAAAGGGCGCCTGCTTAAAAGATGCCCAACTAATTTCTCGGTGGCTAAAAAACTGTGGGAAAGAAGTTCGTAGTTTTCCCGATGGGCATTTGATGAAGCAAACAAGGGGAAGGTGTCTACACATTTTAGCCCTTGCAAACACTAGAACAGCTCTGCGATCATGGAGAGAAGACTCAGGTGATATCACAAGAATTCTTCTAACCGCAGTAGCTGATCCTCTTGCTCGACAAGGCGCTAAGATGAGCGACACAATTACCCTATGCACAAGAATTCTTCTAACCACTCAAGATCCTCATAGCAAAGGATTAGACCATGGAGGGTTCGGCGGAGCCAGAGGCACTCGAGAAAGCAGGCAGAAGAGAAACATAACTGAGTTGTTGAATTGCTCTCGCCAGAGTCGGATAGACATTTTATAGTCGGCCTAAAAGATGGATCCAAGCGCCCGTGAAGCAATGATGCTCTCGTAAAGTTTTGAAGCATGGGCTCATAAGCTGGCAAAGACGGTGACAGACAGTAGACCCCAGATCAAGATTCTCTACCCGTGACCACGGACCTATCGGGGGTACAGACATGATAATTTTGAAATAAAATTACTTTATCCCAAAATTGAGAGGGGCATGTGTTTACACCAAAATTTGGGAAGAAGAATTGCAGGAACTCGAAAGCTCCTAAGATCGTGTCATCGAGGAATCGATTGCATAAAGGTCGGTATCAGCTGATTCGAATACAGTACTGGAATCGGCTCTCTTCAGATAGCGCTAGTAGATAACGATAAAAGCTGCAGTTGGTGTCGGGAAAAAACATGTTGGACTCTACAAAAAGGAAAAGATTAGGGTCCAAGTTATCTTAAATTAGGAATGTTTTATCTTATGCCAAAGATTGTAATGAGTCGTGCTTAAATAGGATTCATGCGTAGGTTCTGAGTATAAATATTAGACTCCGGCTATTGTAAAAGAGAATCAATCAAATACAAGTTACTTATTTTTTTGGGTCCGGCCACCCCTTAGGAGTAATAGTAGAGTAGATCTCAGCGAGTTCTTCAGCGAGCAGGGTTGTATCGGTTCGGCCGACCTCCGGCTTGTCTGTAAGTACCGTCATGGCTTATACTTCTGTTCGTACGGCTGCATCCATCCGGTCGACCTCCACTACGACTCTGGTATAAGCTAGTTATCGACTCTTGTCTAGTTCAAGTACGGCTGCATCGATCTGGTCGACCTCCACTGCTCGAACTATATTAAGGTTAAGTTATCGGCTCTATCTAAGGGTGGCGTCCTTCGGGTAGATTCATTAAGTTATCGATCTTGCTGATGTTTTTCATTGTTATTAGTTTACAGCAACATCAATTTGCCCGGTCAAGATCGAATTAGATTGGTCTCATATCCTTTAGATCCATCGTTCGTTTGTTACAACATGATAATATCTACCTTGAATGACGGGTTTTGTTTTATCGACTATTTTTACTTCGATCTTGATCGTGCATAGTACGCGGTTAAGGCATGAATAATCTTGAAAAGGTTTGTTGGTTAGTTGAATCTGGTTTATAGTTCACCATTATGGCTGTAATGATCCGGTCGATCCCCACTGATGACACTGTAGATTGGAGGATACTAGTTAGTAGATTTGTTCCTGGTTAGGCGTGACCTTAGCTGTTTGCTATGCCTGCATCGGCTAAATAGCCGATCGCCTGTGCGTTAACGCCTACGGTGTGCATTCATGATTCTGTTAAGCGTGAATAGATCTGTGTGCTTTGAGGGCTTGATTCGTCGTCTTTTTCACGGCTGCATCGATCCGGTCGAATCCCACTGTTAGGGATAGCGGGTTGAGTCTAAGGAGTCAACGGGTTTGTTCGTGTGAAATAGTCGATTGTTCACACGCTATAGTCCTTTTCACCTGAATCGGCTATTTTAGCCGATTCATCCGAGCCTTCACGTATAACATATCTTTCGGAAAGCCTGTCGAAGTACGAATGTGTTTGCGGATTCTTCGGTTTTAGTTTGTTACTATTATCATAGCTGCCATCGATCCGGTCGAATCTCACTGTTGGTGGTAACATATTAGATTCAGAGCGTTTGTAGATCCGTTCGTATCAGATAGTCGATTCGTTCGTGTACTATATCTTTTCCTGATTAGATTCATCGGCTTAATGGTTTACACTAGCAATGTCTGTCTAGCTGATGATCTTATTTACATATACGTGTATTGTACCTATTAACATGAAATTAATCGCTACTCATAAGTTTTATAGTCCGTAACATATTTCTGTGCGGATCGGCTATTTAGTCGCTTTTTCCTGTATGGCTGCTCCCGAAGCGGCACACTTGGAACTGTCTGGGCACAGACCGGCATGTTCCACCTTAAATTATTGATAAACTTTCTCTCCTTGTCAATTGCAGTGTCAAATTGACTGACACGTCTTAGGATGAGTACGCAGGATCGACCATCCCTGCGTTGAAGCCAGGCGAATCTCCAGCTCCATCGAGCATACCCTTTTCAGCTTGCTCGTGTGCCCGGCACGAGACGAATTTCCGTGCCGACATTTAGTCTGCGCATTTTCTGCAGAAACAGATTCTTTTATGCTACAGCATCATGATTCTGCAGGTATACTACGTTTCCAAATTCTTTTATGCTACAACATCTTGATTCTGCAGGTATAATCGGTTTCACGAAAGAAAATAAATAGTGACAACAGTACAATGTGAGTTATTCTATTTGTCGTTCCTAACTGTAAACCTAGAACTTAATGAACCACGTTATATCCTGCTGGGTGAAATTATTAATTTGCAGTAGCCTCAATTTGTTTGTGACTCCAGGTTACTCTACCTTACTGCACAACCTCAATGAACTTATTAATCGGCGCAGGCGCTTCAACGGAGTAGTGATTTACATCATGTGAAATCTATGGAAGGAGAGAAATAGGAGAATCTTCGAAAACACGTTCAAGCCGGCGCAGCAGGTCACCTCCTTGACCAAAGAAGACAGTGCAAAGACAAAGGGCTATGAATTTTTCTGTGTAGCCAAACTAGCTGTGGGGCGGGTGCTTTATCTGTTTGGTCCTGTGACCAGTGCGTTTGGCACCTTGGGTGCCGTTGTACATAAACCTCTTTTTTCTACTTTTCCTTCAAATAAAAATTCCAGGTTACTCAACTTTTTTCTAAAACCTGCACTACATATACGTATCTTCAGATTACTCCACCTCCAGTGGTCTTAGCGTTCATAATGAACCTTTTGTTGCCCACTTATCTGTAGCGATTCACTATGTGTAATGACCGATTTTTCATCCATATATCCATCTTCTGTGTGTTATTATTTGAATCACGGTATTTTCAGCCAATTTTTACGTGAATCCTTCAGCAGTTGTACCACATGGCTTGCTTCTTTCAGACTTTGCTCTACTGCACCTGCTGCTTCACCGTGACCTCATAAACGTACATTCCACCATACTGTGTTTTATCATATATCTGAATGTTTCATTATTAACACAAAGATAGTTGCTTAATGGCCAGGATTCTAAAATGTGAGTTGCCTTACAAGCATTGCAGGGGTGAGGAGATCAAAGGAGCATTGCAAGCAATCATTCAATGACGGTTTTGCTTCCAAATTTATGGTTACGGGACTTTAATTGTATTGGATAGAGGCCATGTTCAATAGCTATTCAACGTGCTGACTTATATAAATGCTTCGTTCCTTTTCACCAATGACACTTTGTAACCTTCAAAGGCTTTCAATACTGAATTGTATGATAATTGTACACAATTGTTGAGAGAACCGGCATCCCGCAGCGAAGCGCGGGGCACCATCTAGTATTTGTGAATATCCATACATTCACTGTTTCATAGTAAATAAATAAATCATATATGTAGAGTGCTGATAGTCAGGTCACTATTTCAACACTTGCTATACATTCCTTTTGCTCTAGTCTCTTTCCGAATTTCGGGAAAAACTGTTTACACAGTGTACGTAGCTCTGATGCTAGTCACTTGGTTGCACGCCGTTTATATATGTTTCATATGCTACAGAGTTTGCAAAATGGACAGTCGTAGACTTCAGGAATCGATGATATCGCACTCAGTTCCCGACCAGAGATGTCAAGAACGCCAGCCCTGCGATCAGGATCATGATGTTGAGGAAGTAGTTGGACTGCATGGGCTTGTCCGGGCTGCCTCCGAACCCCTCGTACTCTGCCCTGATCTTTTGCTTCATCGACTCTGACAGCTCCCTCTGTGAGTTCACCCGCAACATGCTCCATCAGTTTACCGTCGAGCTGCCCTCTAGGGCTCTAGTAGATTGTAAAGAGTTTAATGGAGGGAGCAAGTAAGTGCTTTTACCTTCCCATACGAGTATTTGGCAGCGACGAAGGGCTCCAGCTGTGGAGCTGCGCCGTTGTTGTCATCGGATGTCGCTGTTGCTACTGCCGCTGCTACCGGTTCTGGTGTAGGTTCTGCTGCTGGTTCTGGTTCTGGTTCTGGAGCCACTGGTGGCGGTGCCGCTGCTACTGATGGTTCCAGTGTTAGTGCAGTACCCCATGGTTCCAGTGTTAGTGCAGTACCCCATTTCCAAGGGGTACCGGTTGAAATTCGTTTCAACAAATCCGTCCATAACTTTTTAAGAAAAAATAAAAAGTTTTGAACTTGAAAGTTTTTCCAAGAGATGCCTGCTAAAAATTGTTTCAATCTCTCACCAAAAGAGATAGCTTCTTCCGTCTTTTCGTCTGCAGGTGCAGCGCTCATGTCATCGTCCAGTGAGAATCCCTGCATGGCAATCACATCACATGCATGAAGTTAGACTGTAATCAACATACACATAAAGTTTCTGCAAGAACTGGGAACAAAAAGGAAAAGTTGACCCAAGCAGCTTTAACAAAAATCAATCATACGTTTCTATGGAATGGTTCAAGATCAAGACAGACTAATAATTTACTGCCAGTTACCACTTGTCCTATACATCTCAAACTCCCAATATCAGACTAAATTCTGGTCTTGCTGTACTGGTACATTAATGTTTCTTTCATCTCATATGACCGAACATGATCTAGTGAATGCGATAAGGAAGCAAAGAGCATGCACATTACAGGAAATAAATAAGTCATTCAGATGGAAGACCTCAAGAATAGATATTGACATATTGTCCTAGTGTGTTTACTCATTTACTAAAGTTGTGAATGGCTGTAGAAGGTCAAAATGGAAGGATTGTAACACACTAACACTAACCTCAGGAGGATCAAACTTTGCACCAAGATCGCTCAGCTTAGCATGAGCTTCAGCATAGTCTTTAAAAAACGCTTCCTGGTCCTCTGCGTACTTTTCCGCGTATACCTGAATGTGCCATAGATTCTCAGTGAATGCAAGAACGATCTTCAAAAAGATCAGAAGTCGCAAGCTGAGCTCAAGCACTACCTTGAATGATGGGTCCTCAAATAATGCAGCATCTGTGGGCAAAACTAGAAGATCCTGTTCCTTCTGCTCTTCCGAGGGAAGCTGGCTCAAAAACTTCATGTCCTGAAGCGTTGTTAACAGCTTAAATCATCAGAGATTCTCGTGAATAATATGATCTATAAACACGACAAAAAGGAAGCACACCTTGAAGTAACTGTTATCAAACTTCAACCACTCAACTGTCCATGATTGCCCTCCAGGCTCACCAGGCCCATCCTTCTGCAAAATGCAATGACAGGAACACCTCAGTACTGGTTAATTGAAACTAACCATTTTCACAACCTGCCTGGTAATGAAGTTTGCAAAGAAGATAGTCTGGGTTTGAGAAGTGAGAAGAACAGAAGTTTCATTTGTCAATTAAAAAAACATCAAGAGGTGGAGAATAGTACAATACCAAGAATACTGGCTATCAGGTAAGTTTTTGCATCTTGATTATGTTCTGTCACTAAACATAGCAAAAGGAGACAGACTATAGAAGTTATCAAGTCTTATCAAGTAACTCCACTGTAAGGCAAAGAACCCCAGGAATTCTAAGTCACAACATGATAGCAAAGTGTGTATTCTGTACTCAAAATACAGAATAATGGATAGCGTACGGTTCGAGCATGCCCAAAAACTCCATATTATTGAAAATAACCTATTGTTTCTTATTTAAACTGAAGCAAATAGAACATAAAAACATACGGTATATTTTGTTTCTGGTTTTCCCCAGCCACTCCGGTCAGGCCTTGCTCTTCCAAGTGTATGTGCTCCAGATAGTGCAACAATTTCCTGCACAAATGCCCCGGAAGTTCAATGCCATAGCTCAAGAAAATACAGATAGACAGTTAAGTTTCAAAACCCGCCACACCTTGTCATCAAGGCCCATTCTATAGAATACCTCCCTAAGGTGTTCAGCCGGATCATGTGGGCCAGCGTCTGCAGAACATGTGCATTAGCAACAATTTAGTTTGATACCTCTCATAAGTCACATTTCAAGCATTGAACAAAACCAAAAATGAGACATTGGTATGGAATGAAGAACCCATTGGAAACACTGACCAGGAAGCCTCCCTTCAGGTGGACACTGCTCAGCTGCTGTGACATCAACCCGCCCATATTTCATTGGAATTTTCGGGCCACCAGCTTCCTGTATTATGCGATTGACCAAACATATTACTACATAGACTTGACTGATCAAATGACCAAGTGAGATACTTAAGCAGAGAAAGGACAATGACCTCAATTGCCGTAGCACTTGCTAACTGGAACAAATCTGCGTAAGTGATACCTGGGTATTTGTCCTTGATAGGTTGGATAAGCTTCAATGCATTAATCAGACCTGTGAAAATCAAGTCAAAATCTGCAAGTTACTACTGACCTAGAACGTATAAGAAATTTAGACTGTCAAGAAAATAGAAAATACCAGCATTGGCTCCATGACTCAACTCAGCATCGAACCTTAAGCTTCCATCAGCTCCACCTCGCTGTGGCCACTCCTCAATATTCTTGTCATAGGTACCAGAATCATGCCACCCCAGACGGACCTGAACAGAGTTGAAAGCATTCACTTATTAACACAACACAATATGACTACACGGACATGGTAAACTTGCTTCTGCATATAATTGCAGAAGCACTGGTACATATAGTGACTAAACAATTCCGTGCAATGCTGCACGGAACTAATTTCCACTAATCAGCCCAGTAAAATGCAAGGGAAACAAGCACAATGTCATATAGTAGCGCTGATTTGGATACATCAAGAAAAGCAAGTCACTACGTAGAACAGAGGCAGAAAAATGTGGAAATTGGGTAGCTCACATGTTTGCCGTAGCACACGTATCCAACCAATTAAAACTTGTGCTGACGTCCAACTTTGTGCCTTTGTTGCAGATTTGTGTTGGATGTTTTCTTAAGCAGAGACTTGTGGGTACCATGTAATATATCATAGGAACATCGGTCAGTGTCCTCCCTTGGCGCATTTCATCATTGCTACATTCAAGTTTTGGTACTAGATATCTAGATCCCATTCCCATGTGGTTTGACGGTATTCTGCAGTTACAGCATTGTTTGTCATCAACCCTCTTTGCCCCCTGATCATCAGAAACCATAAGGGAATGTTCCTTTATTTTCCTTGGGAACAACCTAACCATCAACTACCGATATGGACATCTCTGATGTAATCAAAACCCATGCTACATAAAATGGCATGTGCAATAACCACACTGCACACCACAAGCAGGAGTGCAGGACAAGCGGATTGAAACAAAAGCGGCATCGCCACTCATTCTATCTAAACTCAAGGACACCCAAGTAAAGTTGAACAAATCTAGCGAAGTTCAAATATACAGGTTCGCTCTTCGCTGTGATTGTCCGGAACGATTGGAAGCCGTAGAAGGATGTCGTATTAAAAAAAATAGCCTCGAGACTCGAAAGCAAGGAGGACGCTATGTTGTTGTGTACCAGGATGGGATGGCAGTATGTGGTCTTAAGGAGCTCCTTGATGTCCTCCCGCGCGCCCTTGAGCTGCGCCGCGTCCGACGCCGCCATGCACCGGACCACCCGCACGCCACGCCCGCGCCCGGCCGCCTTCTGCACGCAAGCAACCCCACCACCACTACAGGGTGAGTCAGAGGCAGAGCAGCTCGATTCGATCTGATGTAAGCGAGAATGTAGGCCGACAAACTCATATCGACCGGCGCGCGCGCGCAAATTAAAAGCGAACCTGGGAGAGGAGGGGCTGGCGGGAGCGTAGGCGCAGCCCCGTGCGGGCGGAGCATGGGGAGGGGAAAGAGGCGGCGGCCGCGGCAGCGACCGTTGCGCGGCGAGCGGACGGGGACGGGGACGGCGAGGCGGCGGGGAGGAGGGAGGCGGCGAGGCGCTCCGCCATGGCGCCGCGCGCGAGAGCTTTGGAAATTTGGAAGGAACTGAGGGAGGAAGAGGGGGAGGATTGCTGCGCGCCTACGTGGCTGGTCCACGGGGAGTCTGAGCGCGCCTTCGCCTCGCCATCGAGGGGCTTCTCGGCGGCGGCTGCCGGCTGGTCGGTGACAGGGTGAGGCCGTGCGCGTGTGTGGCGCGGCGAGACTGGAGTCTAATCTTGCGCGGCCAATGGCCGGACGACGCGTGTGCTGGTGGACCGCGACCGCGACGGAAGACAACGGTCTCTGCTGTCCTGAGAGAGACTGTCCTTTCGAGTGGCATTTCAGTAAAATTTTGTGGATGTTAAACCTAACTTTTTAAGGAATTCAGGAGAACTAAAAGGAGCATAAGAGGCCTTAGCCTGCTTTAGTTGTTTAGTTGTCTGTGTTATCTAAGGCTGACTAGCAAACGGTATATTTAGTTGGCTGTTTTGGTTTGCATAGAATCACCTCTTCCTCGAGTCGTAAATATACCTTCTTCGAGGAATTTTGTCGAACAGGTGATGGGCGAGCAACACCTCGGTAAGCACCCATAGCATACGGAGCTCATCCAGGCCACGTCCTCCTCCTCCTCCGGCACCATGCGAGCTCACTGCAGTTGACGCGAAGAGCACGGCAGCAGACGACGAGCTCATCTGCTTGCAGTTGACGTCGTCCGTCCGTATTTCATCTGCTTGCAGTTGACGCGACCTAACTGCAGTCACGGGGCTGTCCTCGGCAAGCACGGCAGCAGATGGAGTGTTGCCGGCTCGTCCTCAGAGGTGGAGGGTGCCTTGTCATTAGGAGTGGCGGCCGCGAGCGACCTTGTCGCTGCGAGCGAGGAGGAACGGCAACGCGTGAGCGAGCGAGGAGGTTGAGGAGTGGCGCGTCAACGTGGACGAGTAGCAGGTGTGGTGGCTCCGCTACCTGTGCCGGTGACCGGTTGGGCGAGCGAGAACAAGCGAATCCATTTCCAACGCTGGCCAAGCCTGGCCCCAGAAAAACGGCCCCTGTTGACGTTTTTTTTAGCCAGGCCCAAGGCACACGATGGCCTCCTAGAGCCGGGGGGAAAGCCCACCTATAGCCAACCAAACAAGTCTATCTTGACTTCAAGAACCAAGCTAGGGTTTAGGCACCCAACTAAACACACCCTACAAAGACAAGCATACAGTGACCTCTAGTCTGTATCTACCCTAGACTTACAAAATCGAGCTTTTGGGGCTACACCAAATGGAAGCTCAAGCTTTTAAGGTTTAGGGCAACTCTAAGAAAGAGTTATTTCTGGCTTTGAATTTAATTTAAACTTTTGGAGTCCTAGCAAACAAAAAAGGACTTTTGGAGGTACAAAATAGCTAATGATTCATCCAGTCAAATTCGGTCAATAAAGAAAGCTAGTGGATGCCGCTCGCCAACAGGCCTCCCACATCGATTCCCATTTACCCGCGATGATTCCCCTTTTGTCGCGCGCCTGCTTTCGTGTATGCTTCGATTCCCCTTCTTATGTGAGTCCACTCCACATTAGCGCGTGTTTAGTTTCCACCCCAAATTCTCAAAAAGTGCTACAGTAGCCATCACATCGAATCTTAAGATACGTGCATGGAGCATTAAATATAAACGAAAAAATAAACTAATTGCATAGTTTGGTTGAAAATTGTGAGACGAGACGTTTTGAGCCTAATTAGTCCATGATGAAACACTATTTACCAAATAAAAACAAAAGTACTGCAGTAGCCAAATTTCTAACTTTCACCCAACTAAACACGCGCTTAGCATCTCCGCACAGTCACATCAACGATCACCAGAAGCACCGGGAAGGTGGCGGTAACACCAGTGGCATGCACCACCATAAAGCTTCACAAGGTCGCCAAGTACAACTGCAAGTTATGAAGGACCCGGTCCTTTCTTCATCTTGTAGGACCTTCCTCTGTAAAGGACATGTGCAACTCAACAATCTTAAAGAACGTTAATGTTCTGTACTACTCCTCCATCCCAAATTATAAATCATTTCAAGAATCTTGGAGTCAAAACATCTCAAGTTTGATCAAATTTATATGATAAAATAATAACATTTATGATGCCAACTAAGTATCATTAAATTCTTTATTAATTATATTTTCATAGTATACCTATTTAGTGTCACAAATCTTTGTGATTCTCTCTATGATTTTAGTCAAACTTGAGTTGCTCTGACTCTCTAAGATTCTTGAAATAACTTATAATTTGAAAGGGAGGGAGTACTTTCCATCTATTCTAACGGCACGTTACTTCCACCGTTAAGGCTGTATCCTTCTATTGGAAGCCACCAGCGGCTGCGTCGCCCCTCCAGGCTTCGAGAGTCTGGACAGCGCTCCTTGCTTAGGAAGCCATCCACACATGGCGATGGAGGCATGGAGCCGCCGGTCACATGTTACACGTAGCTGCGATAGATCAGAGCCAAGCAGATGCTGCCGCGACGCCAAGCCTATGTTTGGGATACATGTGGTTCATGTATTTTGCAACTCGTTGTAAGCAAGGAGCCAGGAAGATGTTACCATGTTCATTTGTACATATTTGCTTGTGTTTGTATTTTTTTGGTGCTGCATTACTCATCAGCTTGCCTCCTTTGCTACTTTCATATCGTGAAGAGGAAGCTCCAAACAGAGATCTGACAACTTGACTTGTCTTTTCGGCATCCATGTTACAATTCTCCCCAGTTTCAGAAACATTAGACTGTCCTGAAGAACATGTAACTGAAGGACAGAAGGAGATGCTACATTTGCAAATGTAGTTGCAACGGAATTCATGTTCTCCTTTGCTTGAAAGAAGATAAGCAGATTCAATTACATCAATGCTTTGCCTATTTTGGCATATACATATATTCAACTGTTGTCTGTGAAACACAGTACAAAAAATGCTAAAAAATAAGTGTGTCTCATTAACTCGCTCATTGTACCCTGTTTGTTTGATCGTATCAGCCATACTTATCAGTTATGATACAGTGTTTTTCTCTCACAACGAAACAGCAGCAACCGGCTTATAAGCCACAGAAACGATCAAGCAAACAGGTGCAAGTTTGGGCAGATGGACAGCTGTGCACCAGGAAAGAACAAATAAGTGGCAAGAAAAAGGAAGAAAATTTCCTTGTTTGTCTCTCATTTTTCATGAGTGTTCCTATTTGTATGCCATAGGTTTTTCGAGCATTATTTCCATGCTCCTGAATGTGGTCAGGTACAGTATCCTAGAAGACGAGTTGCTGCTAAGCTAATGAAGAGTTCACCAATCCACCAAATCAAGTTTATTTATAAACTAGTTGCTCCTAAGCTAATGAAGAGTTCACCAATCCACCTGCCCTGGTTCCCAAGCCCGCGGGCGTACCTCGGCGCCGCCGTGGCCGTCAAAGACGCCGAACAGGTGCGCCGGTGGGTGGAGCACGGCGGCGGCGAGGCTCAGGCCATCCAGGTCGCGGCGGCTGGCGAGCAGGCGCACCGGCACATCAGCGAAGCGCAGGGCCGAGCTCCATGGGGTCCAACAGATCTGGCAGAGAGTGAAGCACCCCTGGTCATCCAGAAACTCAAATGTGATACAATACTAGTTACAGGAGGCTAGTAACCACGAGTCGCAAAAAAGAGAGGCTAGTAACATATTTATTACATCAAATAAGTCTCAGTCCAGTAGTCTCAACAAGCGTGGTTAATGAAGACGTGCCACAAATAAAAGTAACCATAACATAATATAGGTCCAATAGACCCAGAAACAGAAGGAATCGCAGTCAAACATCTGACGAGTCCCAATGCCATAGGCTTAGTTGGGTGCAGACACGACCTTACTCGAACGCAGCTTCGGGATTGAAATATAGATCTTCCTCTGTTCAACAAAACAAGGGTGTGTATAAAGTACTCAGCAAATCCAATCTTACCCTATGGAAGAGGATAACAGTACATGCATAAGGATATATCAAGGATAAGGCTTGGTTTTATTTGCATAAAGCTATCTTTAGAAACATGCGGGGTTTTATTTTATAAATACCTTTGCAAAAGACATATATTTTCCATATATATAGGAGTAATTCTGAAAAGAGGGTTTGTCACAATTTTAAGTGCTGCTGAACACTCTGTTCCCAGAACACATGGCCGGTAACCATTCATTTCCAAAATCACACAAACTCAAGTTCCCACTCATCCCAACTCATCTAGTTGTTGAAACCACACCATAACTCATCCGAGACCATGGACGCGGCTATCCGGATAAATTTTACACTTTGCAGAGGTTGTACACTTTCACCACAAGTAGGATACTGTAACTTAACACCGTCGTGCAAGCACATATCCATTAGAGCCATTACCCTCCATTGCTGGATACTGGCGCTCACCAAGGGCACACTAACGCAACGATATCATAATACAACAATTTACAGAGCTCATTATATTTCATACAATTTCTTAGTTTCCACGTACATCTCTTAGTGTCCCGTTGCACACCTGCCTCTAGGTGATTGCCATACCAACTAGGGGGATTTAGACCAAACCTTGCCACATACAAGGTCAAGTGGTGGGACGATAAAATGAGTTAGGTGAGATGAATCATCAACTCAGTCCTTAATCAAGACAAGACGGATATCTTCATGCTGAACCACAAAAGGTACAAACCACAACACCACGACATCCCACAAAAAGAATCCGATCTGCCCCATCTCTAGGGTAATCACCATCTATACTTGTTCATTAACTCTTTTACAATGCCCACAACTTATTCTCACCACTCATACAGTTTTCATTTAAAATCATTGTATTTGAGAAATCACTCTGATGAGTATCCCATGATGGGCACCAAGTACTAAGCATTTCTAGGTAACGATATTTCGTCATGGCATATTATTTATTCCTAGGTTTGAACATGACAATTATCAGGTAATATCAATCCAAGGATGGCTATTCGAACGGGTTTTAGCTAAGCAGTGAAAATACCTCGTACATATATCGTACATGCAATTTTTAAAACGGCTTCTACGGGTTGT